ACACACGTGCACACTCAGCATCCCCAGCTGACCTCCAGTGACTGTTTCTTGTACTTGTTGTGAATTCTGTGAAAGGGGAAAGGCCTTGTTTCCTGGGACAGAAGCAGGAGGACGGATGAATTGACCTCCACACAAGGAGTCCAGGATTCTATGGGGCATCGGAATCTCAACCTGTGAGGGACAGGGGGAGCAGGTTTGTGGTTGTGAGCTGATCCACGTATGCTTGGCCTGGCAGTGAACAAACAGGAGACCCGATCCAAAAAAATAAATAAATAACAAGGGTAGCAATATCCTGCATGTGTATTACACCTTGGAGTTGACGGAACCCTTTCTATTTGAGCGGGTCCTTCTGATATTCTATCAGAGTTATTTATTACAGGTTTAAACCCCCTGAAAGTCCATGCACCCGATAAGGACAGTGACTAATTTTTATACCCCACAGCGCCTAGCCGAGGGTACTTCACAAACGCTTGCTTACATTATTCCTACCGGCAACTCATTTCACAGCTAAGAAACCTGAGACCTGAAACCCAGTCACAGATGACAACTGACAACTGGGACTTTGAGCCCCTGGCATAGGTCTTCCCAGGCAGCACTGGCTGCCCACAGAGCTCAACTTTTCAATACTCGAAACTACAAACTGAGGTTTGCCGGAGGGGCAGTGGGTAGGGGGTTGCGTGCAGAAGGGCACTTGCGACTTGGTGCACCGGGTGTTGTATGGAAGTGATGAATCACTGAATCCTACACCTGAAACTAATATTACACCGTATGCTAACTAACTGGAACTTAAAGAAAAACTTGGAGAAAAAAAGTAAAATTAATACTTGAAGCTACCTGTAATGCAAGAGATGACAAGCAGTTTTTACAACACGAAGTAATAATTAAGATTTGTCTTTCGGTGGGAGCCTCCCTCTGTCCTGAGTGGACCCCCTTAGCCATGTCAAAATAAAATAAGTGTCCCTCGTCTTGGGCCAAGCCCTGGACATCCACGCTGCTCCAGCTTCGCTGATTCAAGGGAATTAGCTGGGGAGGTTCTTCACCTGGGATCTCAAAATTTCTTCCTCTTTCCTCTAGGCTGATAGGCAAGACACCCTCCCATAGTCTTCATAGTTCCACAAGCTTCACGGCTGTGGAAGGTCCAGCAAAGAGAGTTGAACTTCAATCTAGAGGCCAGGGTTTGGATTCTGCCATTAACTAGCAAATCTCGCCTCAGCTAGTCACCTCCATGCCCTGAGTTTCCTCTTCTATTTAAAACGCAAACCTGGGGGTGCCTGGGTGGCTCAGTCATTGGGCATCTGCCTTCGGCTCAGGTCATGATCCCGGGGTCCTGGGATCGAGCCCCGCATCATCGGGCTCCCTGCTCGGCGGGAGGCCTGCTTCTCCCTCTCCCATTCCCCCTGCTTGTGTTCCCTCTCTCGCTGTGTCTTTCTGTCAAATAAATAAATGAAATCTTAAAAAAATAAAAAAACAAAACGCAAACCTGCCATTTTGCTCTCTTGTCCCAAACCCTTCAGGGATGCCTATCGCCCACCCAGTTGAAATTCAAACAACTCCCTCTTCCCGACTGCATCACCATCTAAACCTATGAGAGAGGGGGATTCAGAGAAGGGGGTTCCGTCCCTTCTGAGCTCTTTTATGTTCAGCCAGGAGGGAGTCAGGCCGACAATGAAGGGAGATGGACATTAATTAGGTTCTGTAGACAACAGCCAGAAGGCTCCCCCTGGAGTTGGGGCTGGCCTCTGGTGGCCCCCTCACCTTCCATCTATGGTTCTCCTTGATCCAATGACTGCCAAGTGTCCTCAGGCAGTCTCCTTCTCTCTGTCTCCTTCTTGGGGTCAGTTCCGTCTAGGACTCTTTCCCTGTTATGTGTAGCTCTGACACAGTGATCACAAGGCCTGGAACTTCCCCAATCACCAGTTCGGGGACAGAAACTACAAGTGTGCCTGTTACCACAATTGAGCATGGACTTCCTACCCTCCCAGAAGTCCACCCTACCCACCCCCCGGGGGGCGGTACCTGTTTAGAAGCATCATCCTGAGGACCAAGATGAAGTAAAGTGAAAATGAGACAATGCAACCATCCAGAGCTCAAAATTTGCCCTAAAAATTTCCCAGTGTGGCCATGGGGACAAAGCTGTCTACCCAGCTCCGCCCACAGTTTCCCTGGGGTTCACCATATTCCCTCCACCCCCAACACTCAGCCCTGAGCTGTTCTTCCTCCCCCTGCCCCACCCCCTGCCCAATTCACTACACATTTGTCTTTTCCAAGAGCTCTTCCAAGATGGGAAAGGGCATTGTTTATATGGTAGTGAAAGCATGAGTTCTGGAGTCAGGGATCTGGGCTGTAATCTTAGCTCTGCCACTCACCCACTGAGTGATGCCGACAAGCGACTTAGTCTCTGACCTCACCGCTCCATCTGTGAAACACGGATAACAAAGCCAATCTCATGGGGGTGGTAACAAGGATTAAATGGGACAATGTTGGGACACCTGGGTGGCTCAGTCAGTTGAGTGCCTGCCTTCAGCTGGGGTCATGATCTCAGGGTCCTGGGTTCAAGCCCTGCGTCTGGCTCCCTGCTCAGCAGGGGGCCTGCTTCTCCCTCTCCCTCTGCTGCTCCCCCTGCTTGTACTGTCTCTCTCTCTGACAAGTAAATAAATAAATAGAATCTTAAAAAAAAAGAGAGAGAGAGGGAGAGAGAGAGACAATGTTGGCACCTTCATCGGGATACCTAACATTAGCTGGTATAACAAAACTTCCCAATCTCAGTAACTAGATACAACAAGAGTTCACTCCTCTTTCAAGTCACAGGCTCACACAGATTGGGTGTCTTTACTGAATAGCTGCCCTCCAAGAGGTGATTCGGGGACCCAGGCTCCTTCCATCCCCTTGGAGTCCTCCACTGGACCCCTACCACCTGGCTCACAGAATAACAAAGACAGAGTTAGAGGCCAGGCCGGGAAGTAGCACCCATCAATTCAACTTTACATAGGTTAAAACCCAGTCACACATTCCACCTAATTGCAAGGCAAGCAGGAAATATAGCTGTTACAAATACCAGAAATCTTTGAACCTTAGTGTGGACTTTTTAGAACACGGAGAATACATTACTGAATACAAACCAAAGCAAACATACGAATTTCTTTTTTACAAAAGGTATCACAATCATATGTTGGACATAATTCCAGTTCTGAGTGCTTTCTATGAAGCATCAAGCTACATGAGGACAGCCTATATTCAAACTCAGGCTCTGCCTGAACAAAACAGTAAATAGCCATTGTGACGTTCTTATCTTAAACCAGGAAGACTAATTTATGCACTTGACAAGGTTTTTCAAAAGTGCCATGTTCCCCAATCTCTAAGTATATACTTCTGTCTGGGACCCCCTTCCTCTCCACTCATCACCCCACTACCTCTCACTCATCCCTATCAGCTTGGATGTCACCTCCTCCAAGAAGCCTTCTCTATCGTCTACCCCCGTTGGGGTCGAGTGCCTGCTTCCTGTGTCCCCACACTAGTGTGTACTTCCCTTCCCAGCACACTTCTCACAGCATATGAAAATCTCTCTTTACTTTCTGTCTCTAGCTAAATCGTAAATTTCTTGGGGGAAGGGACCTTGTTCTGGTCACCATTTTATCCTCAGCTTTAACACAGTATCTGGCCCAAACAGAGTGTACAGAAAATGTTTGTCACATGAGTGAATTAAGAAATCTGACCCTCCTTCAAAATGGCAAGGGGGTAAGACTTTTAAACTCTTATAACACAACAACAAAAAAAAGAAAGTAAAGCGTAAAGGCAAGTTCAGCAAGAAACTGCACAGTGTCCTCCTCCTTCAAAAGGTCAATAGGAACTGAGAAGTCATCTCAAAAGGCGGCCCCACCCCTTGGGTCATGCCTGGATACCTCTGAGCAATTGGCCACACTCTTAATCTTTCAGTTGAGCAACAGAGAGTGCAGAAAACATTCTCACACATTACAAACCCTGGAACCCTTTCTCCCAGCAGATCAGAGGGTGTGGCAACAAGAGCTGTCCCCTTAGGGGGGCTCCGACTGACCCTGTGTCCTGTTGGGCCTGCGTATACCACTCTCCACTATCTACGGAGCTGGGGCATCCCTGACCTTCGCTCATCATCATCAAAAAGTGAGGTCTTCCTAGTCCTAAAGTAGACCTTCCGACCCCCAATAGGAGCCCCTCCTCAATACTCGCACATACTCTGAAGCAGGTGTCATGGTGCAAGCAGAGTGAAGCAGACAGAGCTTGTCTCCCATGCTCCCACATCTTCGGTGCACCTGGAGTGAAATCTCAGATGAGTCAAGTGATATCGAAGCGTGAGTAACCGATGATAAGCTACCCAGTTCTCTAAGAATGCTATTACCCAGCGGCGGGGGGGGGGGGGGGGGGTTGGCACATGGAAATAGCTCTAAATGTGAGATTTCAGGCAAGCGAGGGAAACCAAAAGACGCTGAGGGAGGTTGTGGGCACCCTTCCAAAACTATTAAGTCAGAGATGGGACTGCCTATTCTACCGTTAGTTTGGCTCAGAGTCCTACACCGAGGTACTAGGGCAACACCAAGAGTCACACACGTGTCCTAGCAATGTTCCCTGAGCGCCTGGGGCAATCTCCTTCCCCAACTCCGAGCTAGCGGCGGGCCTTAGCCACAGCTCCAATCCCAACCCTATTCGTCGGGCAAAACCAGCTCTGACACCCGCACCCCACCTTCTGCACCACCGCCACCCCACCTGCCCAGGCCTCTTTGACGCGATCACAGCGTGGGGGGTTGGTTAGAACCCCGCCCCCGGCCCGTGACGGCCCGGCGCCCGCTGGGTCCCTGCATCCTCCCCATCCGCGGGGCGGGGTGGCCAGCGCTGGGCAGCGGGCACCCGGCCCCGCACCCGCATGCGGACGCTCGGCCTCGGGGGCGGGGCTTCTCGGGGCCCCGCCCCCTGACGTCAGCCCCGCGAGGCGTGGGCGGGACCGCCCGCCAGCCCCGGCTTTCAGAGGCAGAGCCGCCGAGCCTCGGCTGGAGGCACACAGCCTGGCTCCTGCTCCGGCTTCGGCTCCGGCTCCGGCTCCGGCCCCGGCCCCGGCCCCGGAGGATGCGGCGTGCCCAGGATGCTGCCGCGCCTGGTAGTGCTGCTGGCGGTGCTCCTCAGCCTGCGCCTCGGCTCCTGCGCGCGCGGTAAGGATCGCAGCCTGGCCCTGCCCTGCCCTCTCCGCGCCCGCCCGGCGGGGCTGGGTGCGCGTCCGCTCCCGACTCGCGCTCTTCGTCGCCCCTACGTTATAGTTGTGCGTTCCACGGAGAACCCCGTCTGGCTGTCCCTCTGGGGAGGGGGGCGTCCATTGTCTACCCCACCCCAGAAGCTCCCTCATTCCGGCAAGCCTGGATCTCAGGCTCCCCATCGTGGAAGTGGAAGAGCATGAAATTGATGGGGGGGGGGGTGGATAGAGAAGTTCAGTGACACCCACCCACGCACCCCCACTTTATCTTCTATCCACCTCCAAACGAATCAGAAACTTAGTCCTGGCCTTTTTTTGTTGTTCTAGTTCAACTGGTAAGAATGCTTTCCCCTTGGGTGCCTGGGTGGCTCAGTTGGTTAAGCGACTGCCTTCCGCTCAGGTCATGATCCTGGAGTCCCGGGATCGAGTCCCGCATCGGGCTCCCTGCTCAGCAGGGGGTCTGCTGCTCCCTCTGCCCTCTTCCCTCTCATGCTCTCTGTCTCTCATTCTCTCTCTCTCAAATAAATAAATAAAATCTTTAAAAAAAAAAAAAAAAAGAATGCTTTCCCCTCTGGGGAATGACTTTGATCCCCCATCTGACTCCACCTTCCCTTAGCCCTCCCCTTAACCTACTTCTTCCCCATGCCATTCCCGCCCCCATCCCAGGTCTTGCCCGCTACTATCACCTGTTGCTCCATCTGATCATTCCTGCTCCTTCTTTAGCCCCTAATGTGCTCTGACTGCCACCTGCCTCACTCTCCCTCCTCCTGCCCCTTAGCTCAGTCTTCTAACCCAGCCAGCTATCCTGGAAAGTTTCTGCAAGAGAGAATAAAGCCTGGAGAGAGAATGCCAGGGCAGGGAGGTGGAGGCATGGAGAGTGGAGCCAGGGAGAGCAGGGACTGAAACTGCGTCTACACCAAAATACAAAGTAAAACCTGCAGTCAGCCATTCACATGATCGAGAACTGAGTCGGGGATATGCAGCCCCAATACCGCGAAGACCTGCTGCGTTTCTCACTTTCCATCTAACGTTTTGAAATTGAAACACAGCCTTGAGAATCAAAGATAGTGTAAAAAGCAAGCAAGAAACAGGGGAGATGTACTTTCTAAGTGCAAATGACAATTCTAGAAGAAGCATTACTAGAGAGATGGCGAGAGGTTAGAGAACAAAGGAAGCCTGAGTGGCTGGCAGATGGAGAGACGTGAAGGGATCGAGGAGGAGAGAACAGACTGGCTATTGGCCCTAACCTACCTCATTGTACTTGATTGGCAAGACTCTTAGAGTAGGTGTATTTATTACATTCTTACAAATGAGAGGTTCGGTGAGGTTAAGTAATTTGACCAAGCTACCCTGACCAGTGTTAGTTGGAGGCTCCTGAAGTTGGAGTGCCCCATGTTGAATGGGGGGTGGGGGCAGGAGGTGGAGTTAGACAGCGGTCTGTAGTATCTCACTGCAGAGCCAAGGGTGCTGGCTCTGTGTGGAAATGTCAGCACGATCTAGAACCAGACCTGCTTCATTCTGTCTGTCCTCACCCAGCCTACAGCCCTGCTAGACGTGGGGGAATGGGGCAAGCATTCAGCTTGGGGTTGCCCAGGAGACCTGTGAAGAGAAACAGGCAGATGCCAACAAGCAGGATATCTGTGTATCCCCAAGAACTCCAGAGAGGAGGCCTTGGGCTGGAGCCAAGGCTGGGGCCAGGGTAGGGACCAGGGCTGGGGATGGGGGCCAGCCTTGGGATGAGGCTGGAGCAAGGACAGGGACTAGCTCATCTGAGATGAGAGCTCATTGCTGACAGACATTAGCTTAGCTAATGAGACCTTAGCTCTCAGCCCATGCCTTCTCTCCGGAGATACATCAGACTCCCCTTGGCTCTTCTTAGCCACCACTTCTGTTTCTGATCACAGACAGTGATCTAAGGATACAACACTAGCTCTGGAATCAGACACATGAGGATTCACACTGCCCCTTATTAGCTCCTTTGGCCTTGGGCAAGTCACTCAACCTTTCTGAGCCCTTATTTCTTCTCCGGTAAAATTAGGGCCATAAATGTCTATCCTGTAGGGCTGGTCATGAGAATTAACTGAAAGAACATATGTAAAGTACTTAGCAGAGAGTCCAGCTCACAGTAAAGTAGTCAATAAATAGAAGCTGGTAGGATGATGGCCACCATCACCGTCGACATCTTCATTGCTGGGGGAGGGCTCTGCGAGCTCTGATATTGACACTCTTCTCGCCAGGGACAGATCTGCCCAGCCCTCCATCTGTGTGGTTTGAAGCAGAATTTTTCTCCCATGTCCTCCACTGGACTCCCATCCCGAAACCGTCAAACAGCACCTACTATGAAGTAGAGCTTCTGAGGTATGGAAAGGGGAGGATGGAGAAAGGAGGGAGGTGGGTGCGGGAGGGGGCAACCCATCTCCTTCACTTCCCTGGCATGGGAAGACATAGCTGTCTTGTTATTGAAGTAACACCGGGAAGGACCCTGGTATATATCAATCGGTTGACAAGTACTGATTGATCCCCATATGTGTTGAGCCGTGTGCTGGGAGCTCTTGGATGAGAAAGCCAAGGTATTTCCTTTTCCCTTAAGTTTTTTCCATCTTATTGGAGAAACAAGAAATGCATCCATAATATAATTGGGAAACAAGGAAACCCTAACGGACTGTAAATATAATTGGGAGAAAGCCTGAGAAGTCAGGTTGTATTGCAGTGGGTAGCAAGTCTTCCTGGAGGAGTTGGCGATCTGTTAGATATTCCAATCTAAGAGAAACTGGTATGCAGTCCCAGAGCCAAGAGAGATCCTCTTGCAGTTAGATGCCCGGGACCAGAGAACATACGCTGCAGGCTGTACCTCATGGGAGCTCTCTCCCTGGGCCCCTTGCTTTCCTCTTAAAGGAGGTGGGTTTGAACGCAAGTTCCTCTACTAGTGCCTTGCCTGATATCTCCCCAGGTATGGGCTAGAACCCTGGAAGTCCATCCCCAGCTGCAGCCAGACCCAGGTGTCGTTCTGTGATCTCACTGTGGTGACCCTGGACCTGTACCACAACAATGGCTACCGAGCCAAGGTCCGCACGGTGGATGGAAACCAGTACTCCAACTGGACCTTCACCAACACCCGCTTCTCCGTGGATGAAGGTGCTTTTCCTCCCCTGGGCCTAGAAGATGGCTTTGGGGGTTCCTTCCTGCCAGAAACTCTAGTCTAGAATGTGACTCTGTTTCCATAGCTCACCACCCAGCTGGGCTTCCCGGGTGAGGACCTAGTTGCCCAAATAACTAATCAGGACTTTTGGGAAGATTTAGATGAAAATAGCCAAGTTGTTCAAGATTTAAAAGGGAACTGGAGTTGTTTATCCTACAGAAGAGAAGTCTTGGGGTGGTTTAGAGCAGCTGAGTCACAAGGGCCAGACCTGTGTACTTGTAGGGTTCTGGAAGAGGAAGTAAATCCAAAAGCACTCAGCACAGAGCAAGAAACAGTAGGCAGAATTGGATCCTGAAGAAGGGTTGGGGGTCTCTCTCAGCAGACATAAGAGAAAAGGATAAGCCCCAGACTTGATGGGATTTTGTCATTCTATGAATTGGAATGGACCATGCTCTATGAGTGTGGTGAGCCTGCTCTGCAAAATTCAGAGTCAGAACCAATGGCCTTCGAGGTCTTTGGCTCCCAAATGCCTGCCCGCAGGCCAGTGCTTAGCTGGCTACAGAAACATTACCTGAGGAATGTGTTTAAAAATCAATGTGTCCAGGGGCACCTGGGTGGCTCAGTCGTTAGGCGTCTGCCTTCGGCTCAGGTCATGATCCCAGGGTCCTGGGATCAGGCCCCACGTCGGGCTCCCTTCTCGACAGGAGGCCTGCTTCTCCCTCTCCCACTCCCCCTGCTTGTGTTCCCTCTCTCGCTGTGTCTCTGTCAAATAAATAAATAAAAATCTTTAAAAAAAAAAAAAAATCAACGTGTCCAGGGCCCAGCTTCAAAAATTCAAGTTCACTGTGTCTTGAGTGGACCCGGGGCATCTGTATTTGTAATGTACTTCCCAGGAAGTCCTTATGTGCTGCCAGGTTGAGAAAGTGGTGGCCCGGGTTTTAGGGTGGGTAAAGCTTGACCCTAGAGGCCAGGCATGGGCAGGGCACCCAGGCCCTCCCCAGCCTGCAGTCCTCATCATTTTGCCTCCCCACCAGTGACTCTGACGATTGGCAGCGTGAAGCTAGAGGTGCACAATGGCATCATCCTCGGGAAGATCCAGCCCCCCAGGCCCAAGATAGCCCCTGCAGGCGACACTTACGAAAGCGTCTTCCAACACTTCCGCGAGTATGAGATTCAGATTCGCAAGGTGCCGGGGAACTACACGGTACGGGCCTCCCCAGGGCCACAGGACATCTGTATTTATAACGCAGTGGGCTCCCTGCGCCTCCTCGTCAGCAGGGCTGGCAGTACCTTCTATGCACCCCTGGGGAACTTTGCTGGCAGAGTAGAGAGAGAGGGCGTGGGGCAGGGGAGGGAGCTGAGATGACCTCAGCCCCCAAATCTGTGCTCCTGCCAGGTGGCAGGGAAGACATGGCCCACTAGTGTCAGGCACCACGCAAGACATTTAATAGCTATTATTCCTGATCCCCTGGCAGGTGGATATTTTATTCCATTTTATAAATGGGAAAATGTGTCTCCCAAGAGGCTATGTAATTGCCCACGGACACCCCCTAAGTGGGAGATCTGGAATCTGCCAGATCCATCCTCTTCCCACCATTTGATACCAGCCCCTTCTAGGAAGGTCCTCAGCGACTATAAAATGTTCCTTTTCTCTTTTTGTACAAAATAAGTCATGTTAATCACAGAGATCTTGGGCTGCATTGATAATACTGGGTTTGTCATGTCAGGGAAAGGACACTGAAGGGGGTGGCCTGGAGCATCTCTGATGGCTCCCCCACTCTCAGCTTCCATGGTCCATGAATCAAGGGTACATTTTGTTTATTGCTGTTGTTTTTGTTTCAGTTCACAAAGGAGAAGGTGAAGCATGAAAACTTCAGCCTCTCACCCCCTGGAGATCTAGGAGAGTTCTGTGTCAAGGTGAAGCCATCTGTGAGCTCCCGCCTGAACAAGGGGGTATGGTCCAAGGAGGAGTGCGTCGTGCTCACCCAGCAGTGTGAGTCTGCAGTTGGGGCTGCTGTCTGGGGGGCGGGAGGCAGGAAGGGCCTCACACGATCCAAAAAGCATCAGTTGAGGACCACTGATGCCAGGGGCACTCCCCCACATGGCCCTGTGAGAAAGCTCCTATTGTCCCCATTTTAGAGATGCGGGACCTGAGGCTCTGTGGGTCTGAACAGCTTTCTAGGGCACGGAGGCAGAGCCAGGTCTCTTGATTCTGCTGGTGCTGGTGTTCTGCTTGAGCACAGCTGTGCTTCCCAAGAACCGCTCCCCTCCCCCCTCCCTGCCCCAGGCTCGCTCTGTCAGCTGTGGTAGTTCCTGTTTGTTACATCTCTCTGCTGTCTTTTCCTGAGGCTGGGCACAGAGGGCCTTCTCCTTGTCCCCCCTCCCCATTGGGACTGAGCTGACCCCTGCCAGAGCTGCTGAAGCCAGGCTCTCCGCAGGTGCTGGGGACGGGAGGGAAAGGAGGGAGGGGAGAGGACCTGGGATGTGAAGGCCATGGTCTTGTCCATGAGGATCTTACAGTCTGGCTGGGGAGACAGGGCATGCCCAGAGGAAGCTGTAAATAGCAACTCAGGGCAACATATGCCCCAACCAGTCATGCCAGGCCAGCAAGGCCCAGCAAAGCCCAGAGTGACTCCTTATATTTCTACATTTCAGTTCATGAAGGACACTCACAAGTTCATTGTCATTTAGCCTCACTCTCATTTAAGCAGAGTTAAGGCACCATCCCTGTGTCAGGCAGCCTTAAGAGCATTTTTAACATTCACTCACTGGTAGAAGAACTAAGTTTTGTGGACAGGTCTGGCTTCAGATCTCAGCTTTACCACTTACGAGGTCTATGATCTTGGGTAAGTTACATAAACTCTCTAGGCCCCAGGATCCTATTGTGTATAGGGATGATGATAGTACTCACCTCCTAGGGTTGTTATAAGGATCAGGTAACATAAGTTAAGGGAGGTGTGCTGTGTACTTCACAATCATGTGGTAGGCACTATTATTTTTCCCATTTTATAGATGGGGAAACTGAGGCTCAGAGCGGCTGAGTCAGTGGTGGAGCTGGGACTGGCGCCAGGCCTCCATTCTTACCTGCTGTCCCATCCTGCCCCCCATTCCATGTGCTGTGGTGTGAGTTGTGTGCAGAGCTGGAGGCAGAGTCGCTGGGTCTAGTAAGGGAATCTCTTCAGGACAGAGGTTGGAAGGCCAGGCAGGGATTTCCAAGGATCCAGAAGCATCTGGTTGTGGCCTAGAGGGGGTCACCGGGGGCCACTGACTGAGTGGCTCCTAAGAGTGGCCGTGGGCTCCTGGGATCCAGGCCACAGACACATCTCTCTGGGCCTGCAGATTTCACCACAACCAACCTCAGCATCTTCTTCACCTTCGTCCTGCTTCTGTGCGGAGCCCTGGCCTACTGCCTGGCCCTCCATCTGTACGTGCGGCGCCGGAGGAAGCTGCCCACCGTCCTGGTGAGTCTCGGGGGGGGGGGGGGCCACTGGCCCATCCTTCCTTGCCATACCAAGAATCCAGGAGACGGGGGGCTCCCTCCCAGACAGTCCCTTCCCTCAGCCCTGACATTATCAGGAGGCCCCTTCATCAAGGACCGTGGGGACAGAGGGAGGGCTTAAATGCAAAGCCCAGTGCTGAGAACACTGCCTTCTAAGGGCCCCCGATAAGACACATACTGAGTAGTCCCAACCCCCCACGTGCCATTTTGTTACTATTTACTAACAACTGGCCATGGGCCAGCCCCTGTGCATCAGTACCTCTGAAGCAGGTGGGGTTATTATCTTCATTTTACAAGGGAGGAAACTGAGGCATGGAGCGATTGTTCCGTGCACGGGGGCCAGGGAGCCAGGAGAAGTCAGGAAGAGCCCAGTCTCTCCCAGCCCTGCCAGCTGGTGATGATGAGTGTTCCAGAAGAGGAGGAACACGCGGCTGGGAGCCCAGGCCTAGGGCTACTGCCAGAGCAGCAGGGAGCAGAACGAGGGCTACTGCCCAGGAGGAGGGGTCGTGGGGTGGCCGGGGTCTCTGCCCCCCGCCCAGAGCATCTCCTCTTGCCACACGGCACGGGCAGCTGGTGCACTTGTGCTTAGCCAGCCTCCAGAATGCAGCTCGCAGCACTGGGCAGCAGGTCCAAACCTCTGCCTGGCCCGCCTGGGACTCAGGCTGCTCTGGAGGTTGCCGCCACATCCCCACAGCGGCCATCACTGTGAGGGCCGCGGGCTCTGCTGGGAAGGACCGGCTCCACCGGGGAGGACCTTCCGTTGGGGGGGCTACCCCCCCAAGAGGGATCCCAGGATTTCTAGGAAAATAAGGAGAGAGACAAAGACCCTCTGGAATTATGTTGAGTAAGAACTCTAGGGGAGAGAAGGGACCGCCTGGCCTAATTAGGGTCTTTGTCCGGCAGCAAAGGACTGTGTTCCTAGCTCCAGTGCCCTGGGTAGAGTGGTATGACGAGGAGCCTTACAGGATTAAAAAGTTCTTCTTGTGTCTAACTGAAGTATATAACTCATTGTCCCTTCTCTGTGCTCCAGGGAGATTCCGTTCCACAAACATGTATGCATTGGCCTGTTTAACAAGTGCTCTGAGCATGTTCTATTACGCAGGGCCTGGAACCGGGATGGGGGCTGCACTCAGGGACGGATGACGAGAAAGCAGAGGGGTGGGGGAGGCTGGTCCTGGTAACTGGAGCAGGGATTCCTCGGTGGGCGTCAGAAAGAGCATCTAGGAAGAGATCAGTGAAGTGGCCGTTGAGCTACAGTTATTGAGCACCAGTGACAGGCCACATGTGGTCTGGGAAGAAGCTGATTCATGCAGCCCTTGGTCCCAAGGGGCTTGATTACAGCCCGGTAGGGCAGCCAGCGTAGAATCTATTACTTCTAATGCAAGCCAGGGAAATAGGCACAGGTGCAAAATGCCAAAGGAGACAACGCAGCCTCTGGGTTTTCATTCCTCTGTGCCATTTGGATCACAGAAGTGAGCTCTCCTTGAGAATGTTTTCCTTCTCAAGATAAATGCAGCCCAGTTGGCTTCATCTAATGATGGTGGTCATTACTAACTTCATGAATAACTTCGAGTGCACAGAGCACTTTCACATTCATATGCTTATTCCCACTCATGCGCTGTTCTGATCTGCTCTTTGGATAAATGGGGATTTCAGATCAGGACAGTGGAGTACAAATCGCAGGTTTGTTCTCTGCCGCTGTGACTTTGTGCAAGTCATTTCACTTCTCTGAAGTTCGAGTCTCTCCTTAGATTGGAGAGTAAAATTCAGTGTGCCCAATATTTACCGAGTGCTTTCTCTGTGCCAGGCACTGTTCTGAGCACTTGCCGCGCATTAACTACAACACGAGGAGGCCGGTACTGTGACTATTTCTGTTTTATAGGCGAGGAACTAAAGCACTAAGAGGGCAAATAATTCAGCCAAGGCAACACAGCTGATACAAGGCAGAACTGGGGTATGAACCATGCAGTCTGGCTCTAGAAACAGATGATCCTTAATCCCCAACTTGTGGGATATTCATAGGAACTCAACCAATTAAGAGTTGCATTCGAGTCCAAACTTACAAAGGGAATGAGGGCAGGGGTGCTGAGTCAGTAAGTCAGTCAACAAACTTTAAGAGAGCCTCCTATGTGCCAGCTCAGTTTAAGTTCCGGGAACAGAGTGGCAGACAAAACTAGACAGCTCCTGTCCTCAAGAAGCTTATATTCTGCTGGGTGTGGGGAGTAAGTGTGGCTAGAGAGCAGGTTGTGGTGGGAGGCAGAAAATAAATTTAAAAAGAATTTCAGGAACCAAGTGCTAGGAAGAAGTAAACGAGGTGAATGTAGAGAGGGTCGCAGTACTGCCTTAGCCAGGATGATCGGGAAGGCCTCTCTGGGGAGAAACATCTGAGCTGAGACCCGAATGTTAGAACGACACAGCCAGAGCAAGTGCTGAAAGAAGTGTTCCCACCACAGGGCGTAGCATGTGGAAAGGCCCTGAGAGCACTGAGCTGATGCATGAGCAGGAAGAACCCCAGTGTGGCTGAGACGGAACAGCAAGGGGGAGAGGGATTAAGTGACTTTCCCTGGGACCCCTGGCAGGTCGTGGGGAGCAGCTCCTCCCCCACTGCTAATTCTGTGCTCGTTCCACTGCCCCACGTGGCAGCCACCCTGTGTTTGCGCAGGTCACTTAATCTGGTGAACGTTGGAGAAGTTAATTTTGTGTCTCACATCCAGCATTTTAAAAAATGAAATGGACAAGCGAGGGTAACGGAGGGGACAGGATAGGACAGGGTAGGATAGACTAGAACAGGAGTAGAACAGGAGAGAGTGGTAGTGTAGACCACAGTACCCGGCTAGTAAAACGCACTCTTTGGCGAAACTGCTTTCAGTTTACGGGATGTCTATATACAGGCGATCATGGAACACGTTTCTTATTTGGGATCATAGTCCAGAAAAGTTTGAAACACCCTCCTAGATCTATCTAGATGAGTCCGGCTTGCTGTCAGGTTTGGAAAGGACCGTGCTGGGGCTGAGAACATTCACCGTTCCCGGCCGGCTCCCGTTCTGCCTGCCGTTCCATCTGGGCTGCGAGCGTGCCGGCCTGAGCCAAACTGAGAATCGCACCAAGAGGAAAGGTCGATTCTGAAATGAAACAAAAAGTGCAGGTGACTCTGTGGGCTCCTCGGTTAGAGCAGAACCTTCTCGAGCCCGCCTCCTGGCCCCAGGGCCAAGCCTGCAGCGCCAGAGCGGGTCCCCGCAGGTAACCCTCGCGTCTCTCACTCTGCCCTCTCCTCTCCAGGTCTTCGAGAAGCCCCAGGCCTCCAGCTTTGTCAGCCGGCTTCCCTGCCCCGAGCCCCAGGACACCATCCATCCCCTGGACGAGGAGGCCTGCCCCAAAGTGTCCCCAGAGCTGAAGAACTCGGAACTGCACGGCAGCACGGACAGCGGCTTTGGCAGTGCCAGGCCATCCCTGCAGAATGAAGAGCCCCAGTTCCTCCTCCCTGCCCCCCACCCCCAGGCTGGCGGCACCGCGGGCAAGGGGGCGCTCCCGGAGCTGGAGGGCGGCGGAAGCAGCGGCACGGACAGCGGGATCTGCCTGCAGGAGCCCGGCCTGAGTCCCGGCACTGGCCCCAGCTGGGAGCGGCGGGTGGGGGACAGCAGCCCGGGCCAGGATGACAGTGGCATTGGCCTCGTCCAGAACTCTGACGGGCAGCCTGGGGACGGGCGGAGTGGCTCCGCCTTGGGCCCTGCCAATGCCCCCGGGCCTGAGGGGCCTGGGGAAGAAGACCCAGCCTCAGTGGCATTCCGGGGCTACCTGAAGCAGACCAGATGCACAGAGGAGAAAGCAGCCAAGACAGGCTGCCTGGAGGAAGAGTCCTCTTTGACAGACAGCCTTGGCCCCAGGTTCAGGACGTGCCTGGATGCTGAGGCAGGCTGGTCTCCACCAGTGCTGGCCAAGGGCTATTTGAAACAGGACCCGGGAATGACTGTCACTACCTCGGGGACCTCAACTGGACAGTGGGACCAGCCGACGGAGGAATGGTCACTCCTGGGCTTGACCAGCTGTGCTGACCTAGGAGCATCTGACTGGAGCTTGGCCCATGATCTTGCCCCTGTGGACTGTGTGGCAGCCCCAGGCGGTCTCCTGGGCAGTTTCGACTCAAACCTGGTCACCCTGCCACTGATCTCCAGCCTCCACTCCAATGAGTGACTCAGGCTAAGGGGCTGCTTTTGATTTCAGCCACGAGGGCCCCCCGGGGTCAGAAGTGACGCACGAGGCCAGTGTGAGCCCTCATCAGCAGGCCCAGCAGGGCTGGCCAAGGGGCCCGGGGCAGAGAGAGACTCTCTCGCTGAACTACCGCAGGCTGTATGGGTGGCGTCGGCTGGGCTGCAGGAGGACTCCAAAGACTCAGGCAGAGCCAGGCAGGGCCGGGCGGAGGTCTCCTCCCTCCTCCGGGCTCTTCCTGTACTGTAACAGATTATTTGCTCAGGGGAATCACTGGTTTTCTGGAAGTGTGGGGAGGCCCAAGCTGCAGTCAGTAAGGACCCAGGCCTCCCCCCTAGACCCACCAAGTGCCAGCGCCTCCAGCCGGATGGAGGGCTGGGCGGGGCAGTTTCCCTGAAGGAGCAGAGACCAAGTCTGATCTCTGGCATGGTCAGAGCTGGTCAGCCTGGGATGGTCATAGGAAGAAGCTTCCCGGCTGGCAGTCCTCCCAGGCAGGGAGCTTGTCACGGAAGATCTTACAATGTATCTGTCCTGGTCAGTCAGTCTACCACCATGGTTATAGAGCCACCAGGGGATGAAGCCCCTGTGGCCGAGCCACTCACTACCTCCACCCTGTTGCCCCCACCATCTTGCTGATGGTACCAGAGAAACCACGGTTCTTTGTATTGGGCAAAATTCAACACTTCAGGTGGTCTCTGGGCTTGGGCACCAGCTCGCCCACCCCAGACGGTCAGGGTTGGGACCTACACTGTTTACTGCTAGTATCCAGCTACAGACCCACGGGACACGGCACTGGGCTCCGACCCATGCTCTCGGTGTCCAGCTGTGTGAGCTTGGGCCAAGCCACTTCTCAGAGACCCTGTTATTCTCTGATAGCATATGTGGAATAATGACTCAGTCTCCAGTGGGCCCTCCATGCTGGATGGTAACCAAGCTGGCATCAGGGGTGGCATCCCCAGCCTGGTGTGGCCCTGGGCTGGGAGGAAGTTGCCTGCAGAACCTATATCTGCACAGAGCCAGCTTCTTTCGCATGCCGGGGATTAACAGATTTAGCAGAAGTCCATGGTGTCATGCGAAGAGGACTACCCGACCCTGGGCCCAGGAAGGGGACAGGTATAGGCCCTGCCTCCCCATAGTCTATTTGGATTCTATCTTCAAAGCGAGTTTACAGTCCAAGGGCAAGGAAGCTGGGGGGAGTGACAGGCCTGGGGTCTGCCTGCCCCCCGCTTCCGAGTCACCACTCGGCCCTGCATTTTTCTGTGGCATTCCGAGAAGAGACACTCCAGCTCAGGAAATCCACCCAGAACCACCCCGACTCCCCCACCACATCCTACCCAGAAGCTCTGATGTGCCAGTCTGCTAACTGAACTCCCTCTCAAAACTTGGGCTTGCGGGAAGATTCCTCAGGGTTCCCTTGGAAGGTTTATTTATTTATTTTGTTCACTTATTTATTGACGAAGCAGCATGGTACAGTGCAAGGATTCTGGGTATTTCAAGAACCTGGAGGTTCTCATTCTGACTCCACTGTTTCTTGCATCTCCTCATCTGTAAAGTGAAGGGTCTCGGCTTCTTCGTCTGTCAAACTAGAAAGCCACGCCTGCCGTGTTCAATGGACAGGGGTGTGAGGCTCTGAGGCGGTGGGTCTGAATGTGCCTTGCACGCAAGCCTCTCTAAATCAGAGACGCATGTTTTTTATTTCAATAAATTGTCAGGACCTCAGGAATCATGTGAAACCAAATTTCTGATCAAAAACGGTGACTGGTGGAAGCCTCAGGTTGTTGATAACTGAGGTTGATAACCAGATGTGTGATGTGGCTTGAGCAGGACCGAAGACTCGGGCTCAAGTCAGACAGACACAGGTAGGAGTCCTCAAGCTAACATGAAGTATGTAATGGGTATGGATAACAGTGTTTCGAGTGTGGCGTCTGGCCAGTTGGAAAAGAGACCAGACCAGACCTCCCTGGAGCTCTGTCACCTGCCCTTCTCGACGTGGAGGTGCGTCCCAGGGGTGTTTCTCATAAGTGCGGAAGCCATCTGCATTTGATTCTGAGAGCAGCCTGCTCTTTCCACGAAAAGCCACACGTGGGTTTGAGTCTCTCCCCAAGCTCAGCCCTGCGGGTGGAGCAAACTCAGGGCCCTGGCCAGAGTCTCCAGTGCACTTTGCGCTTTGTCCCATCCTGGATCCCCGAGGTGGTGAACGGGGACACCTCATCCCCGTTCCTCTGTGTCATCTCCAACGATGCTTCTCCCCGTTTCATTCTGAGGAAATAACCAGTTCTGGGAAGCACCGATCCTATCATCTTCAGAGAACTTGATTAATATCACACCATTTGGAACCAATCAAATTGATTTGCCCTGGAGGCCTCCCTGTCCTATTGGTTAAGAGGTGTGGGGTCTCCTGGAAATGAGTGTTGGAGATGGCCTCTGCCCCCAGGAAAAGTCCCTTGAGGCACGTTGGATGGAGAGTAGCAGAGAGGTGAATACGAAGACGGAGAGAGTAAGAGGAATCAGCAACCGGGGCCGGCAAGAGAGCAAACACAGAGCAGCTGGGAAAACGGAGTCTGAGGATGTGGGCTCTGCTGCAGGCCTTGCCTGCTTCCCTCGGGAAGCATGAACAGGACTTTGTGCTGGGTCTCCTGCCCGGCCCAGTCGGGGCTTGTGGGGGAAACAGAGTCCTTCCTGCAGGTGGTGCTGAGACGCTCACCAGCTTTTTGGGAATTGGATTCAAGTGCCCCACAGAAGGCCGTTTGTTGTTAAACTGAGTAATCTCCCTCGAGGGCTTTTCCAGGCTGAGGAATGTGTGATTCTGGGTTTCTATGAGCTAACGGAACTTCCTCTTAGTAAGGAGAGAGGGGAAATGGACCAACGTTGACTGAAGAGGAAATTTCTATTGAACTGTGTTTTCCCGGCTTTCTAAATAGCTGTATCAAGGAGTCTGCCTTGTCTTCCCCGAAGATCTCTACCCCCTGCAAGGCACACAACACACTATCCCAGAATACACACGGTCACAGAGGGGGCTCACTGCCCTGCTGAGTGGGAGCTCTCGGAGCCCCGCGTGGGGACGGCAGAGACAGGGGCGCCGTAGGCCGTGTCCGCCGGGGACAGCATGCTGGTGGCCGTGAGAGACAGGTTCAGGCGGCGAGGGCTGACTTTATGTAGCCCCAACCTAGAGGACACCAGGTAGTGGGAGGCATGACTCATCCGTTTCCTGTAGTGCTCGCAGGTTTCAGGGGTTTTTTTTTTTTATTTTTTTTAGATATTTATTTATTTGAGAGAGAGAGAGAATGAGAGACAGAGAGCACATGAGGGGGGGGAGGGTCAGAGGGAGAAGCAGACTCCCTGCTGAGCAGGGAGCCCGATGCGGGACTCGATCCTGGGACTCCAGGATCATGACCTGAGCCGAAGGCAGTCACTTAACCAACTGAGCCACCCAGGCGCCCCAGGGTTACTTTTAGAGCACGTCCATAATTTGAAATTAAATGCATTTTTATTAATGATTCACAGCACCCTTCCTCACTATCAGCTTGATCTTAAGTTCACCTAGCTCCCGTAAACATTCGACCCAGCGGGGGAAGGGGGGGGTTGGACCCAATAAACACTCTGACAAGGAAGGGTTGGGTCGTTGGAATTAGCGTTTTACAAAGCTAACCCTGATCAAAGCATAAGGCATGAATCAGAAGGGATGAGGCAGGATGTAGGGACCTGGTTGGAGGTGCATGTAGTCAGCATTTCTTCAAAAAACATTTTTAAGTGCCCAGGCCTGGGTCCACAGGGAACAAAAGAGGTGCAGCTCCATGGAGGGGGCTATCTGGCTATGAAGCTAACAGACTAGCAGATACATCTTTACAATCAGCGGTGAGTGCCATGAAAGGAACTAAGATGGGAAAACAAGGAACGGAGACGAGATGCGGAGAAACTGTGCAGAGGAAGCTGTCTTAGTTTGCTCGGGCTGCCATAACAAAATACCATGGACAAGACACATTTCTCATCGTTCTGGAGGCTGCAAGTCCAAGACCAAGGTGCCAGCCAATTTGGTTCTTGGTGAGGGCTCTCTTTCTGGCTTACAGAAGGCCCCCTTCTCCTTTGTGCTCATGGGAGGAAGAGGGGAGGGGGAGAAGAGAGGAGGAGCAGTAAAGAGAGAGAGCTCCAGCTAGGCAAGCACCCTGGTCTCTCTTCCTTTTTTTTTTTTTTTTTTTATGATTTATTTGAGAGAGACAGCATGCCCTTGAGCAGGGGGAAGGGGGGGGAGGGAGAGAGAATCCCTAAACAGGCTACCCACCAAGCAAGGAGCCCCGACACAAGGCTCAATCCCAGGACCCCAAGATCATGACCTAAGCTGAGACCAAGAGCTGGCCACCCAACCAACTGAGCCACACAGGCGCCCATCTTCCTCTTCCTATAGGGACTCTCATCACATCATGGGGACCCCGCCCTCATGACCTCATCTAACCCCTAATAGCCTCCCAAAGGCCCCACCTCCTGATACCGCCGCATTAGGAGTCTGGGCTTCAACATACGAATTTGGAAGGGACACAAACATTCAGTCCACAACAGGCTTAAACGGTAATCCAATCCAATGACAACACTGAGCAGGGACAGCGGGAATGGAGAGCAGGTGATAGATTCAAAAGGCATTCTGCAGAGAGCGCAGGGAAGACTCCATAGCAGGCTGCAGTGAAAGAGGCACTGATCCCACTCGAACACGGAGCTGGAGGAAAGTGAAACACGCACGTGGAAGGGAGACGTCGTGTGGGGGGAGAGGGGAGGTGGCGAGTTCTGGCTCCCTATGACAAGTCACCCAAGGAAAAAGTCCTCCGGCAATTGGTGAGGCAGGCCTGGCAACAGTGGGGGGCTCAGAACTGGAGGGGTTCAGATGTACTCACGCTGACCCACCGGATGGGTGAGCTCACACCTGCGTGTGGAAATGAGCACATGGATCTGGCGACAGCCACGCCCCCTGCCACCCAGCTGCAGGAAGAATACTCACGTGTTGACCCCCCGCCTCGAGGACAAGCAGGCTACTCTCCCCGTAGAGCGACAGGGGCCGTGCCTGTGCTCGGCCCCCATCCTGCAGACCCCAGCCAGGAGCCCTGTTAGTGCTGCAGCCCACCCCAAAGGTGCAGCTGAGCTGTAGAGCTGGTAAGCTCCGGAGCAGACTGGTACATGACTGGCGGAGGGCTGGGTATAGGGTGCCGCACCCATACAGCTCTGCGTACACAGGGAAGGAGGAGTCGACGGACGTCAGGGCCTCATGATGGCCCTGGAGAGGAGAGAAACATTCCTGAGGATCCTGCTGCCTGGTCACCGTGACCCTGGTAGTATTCCCTGCCCTCCACTGCCCGACACTCCCACCTACCTGTCCCCAAGGGCAGTTCGCGAAGGACCACCTGCATCAGAGTCATCTGAGGGGTGCTTCTCTTCCTGAGCGTCTCCTCAAGGCCAGGAAGCGCTGATTGCTAATTCCCAGGGTCTTGCTTCAGTAAACAGGTTACAGGTGATCAGGCACAAGTGACCCCCATGCACACTGACATGTGAAGGTCACTCCTTTAGAGAACTTGATGATCTGATGTCTGTTAAACTCTGCCCTTCTCCCCACTGCCCCTAGATGGAATCACCCAGTCCAAGCCTTTAAATGCCACCAGGATGCTGCTGACCATCCCCTTACTGACCCTCTGCTTCCACGCCTGCTGCCTTGGTCTAGTAGCGTGTGATTCATATAGTATGCTTAATCTAGTAGAGCAGCCGGCGTGATCTTTATAAAATACAATTCAGGTCATGTTATACCCCAGCCGAAAGCAAGCCCTCTCCTTTGCTCCAGGTCCACATGAGAAGCAGAGTCCCATCGAGTTAGTATCTGCCCAACCCCCAACACACACCACCTCCTGCACTCTCCCCTTGCCTACCCTGCTTCAAGCTCATTTCCACCTTGGGTCATTTATTCAAGTGTCTTCTCAAATGCAGCCTCCTTGGGGAGGTCTTTGCTGACCATCCTATTCAAGTATCCTCCCCATATCCATTCCCTCCCTACCCCTGGCTTTTTTTCCATCAGAGCACTTACCATCTGAAGTTATAGGACATATTTGGTTTTTTGCTCTTGCCTCTCTCTACAAATAAAGTAGAAGATCTATGAATACTTCCTCTCTTTTGCTCACTCCTACAGTCCCACAACTAAGAGCACATATTAGGTGGTTTGTATTTGCTGAATGAATGAGCAAGTAAATAAATGAATAAAGATAAGCTTACAATGTTAGGTAGTAAGTGCGGTCTTAGCCTAGACTGTCCCCCCAGAAGCAAGAACCTGATTCAAGGAGTTGTGGGTAGGTGGCTTATTTGGAAGGTGATCCCAGGGAACAAGAGTGAGAAACCAGGAGAAGAAAAAGCCAAAACAAGGATATGTTAGCAAGCTGGTCATGCTGGGAGCAACTGGGCCTTGATCCCTGGAGCAGGTAGAGGCCTCTTCCAATGGTCCCCTGAACACTGACAGGAGAAGCCCTGATCCAGCAGCTTCTGAGCTGGCTGAGGCTTCCCCCAGAGGTGTCACACTCTCAGACTGCTGGTGCACAGGGCTGCGTGGGCACCCCCCCCCCAAGAACACAATGAGCCAGGGTGGTTAGCAAGTGATGTGCAGTGAGCACTGGAGACGAGATTTGTCAGCACAAAGTGGGAGCCCATTCAGAACTGTCTGGAATCAGGGTTGGAGCTGAGAGTGCGAGGTGGGGCACTGAGGCACCTGCTGTTGTTCGTGCTGTGAGGGAGATGCTCCCAGGGGCCACGGGGGTGTGTGACCCACCTAGGGGGTTCAATGCACATTTTTTTTGGACTGAACTTAAAGGAGTGAAGTGAGACTTATTAAATTATGCTAAGTGAGGTTGGGAGACTCTCCCCAAACTTGAGAGAGGATAAGATCTGAGCCCGCCATTCAAACCCAGGGCAACAAGCAGACCCAGGTAGTCTAGCAGGCCTGAGTGGCAGGACGCACTGAAGGCACATCCCCTCACGTGACGGAGTATCCACCAGGCACTCAGACTAACAGACGAGTCCAGAGACAGGCTCCCCCCGCAAGGCTGTTGGTCTGGAGATGCCCCACTGGCAAAGAGGAAGAGGCAACAGACCCACAGAGTGGAAAGAGCACTGGGGTGGCCTGGAACTCGGGAGAGGTGGGTTCTCAGCTCAGTCATGTCCTGTCAACTCTGGGCCTCAGTCTTCCCAGCCAAATGCAGAAAGTACTCTTCAGTCTGATTGTCTCTTGAATGCCCCGGACATCCTGCAGTCACTGATTGTACCGCTGAATGTATGCTTATTCCACTGTGAGCTCTAGAGAGCAGAAACTTCCCTGACTCACTTCCATATCCCTGTATCCACACCCAACCGATGCCTAACGAACAGTAGAGGTGCTCAGTAAATGTGATGGAGAATGAATACATGAACGAATGGATTTTCTCACAAGGAAAAGCATATGAGAGGGGTTGAAGAAGTAGGTTATCCAAACATGACCATGGCAAGGCTTGGCAATGGTAGCTTGAAGCTGGGTGGTTCCTTGGGAGACATTAGACTGAGCTCAAAAGAAAGCAGGCTGACCATAAATTTGACTTAAATTTTATCTTCAGGCCTGCCATCTTCTTAGCTTAGTTGTATTATACCATGATTATTTCTTTCCCTGTGATATCTACCCTATAGCTCTTAGGTATTGTAAGGACTCGGGGCTATAGACCAAACAGGAAGCCTAGAGCAAGGGGATGTGGTCAGGAAGCAAGGCAAAGGACCGTGAAAATATTCAGCAGTCATTCGCTCCTTTAGCAAGCATTCATTGAGCATCTGCCATGGGCAGGCCCTCTGGGAATACGGCAGGCAATAGTACAAATCCTTCTCCATGGGTTACAAGCCTGCAGCATGCGCACGCGCACACACAGGCGTCTCCCCTACCTCCTCCACCGCGCCCCTCTCCCGGCCCTGTGGAACTGGAGTCCCCCACGCTCTGCATCAGCCTCACAGCTGCAAGGGAACTCGGTGTCCTCAAGTCCGATGGCAGCCCTACCCAGCAAGGCACCTGGGCCCCACCAGCTACTGGGGCTACCATGGAACGTGGGGCTCCGGACATTTTTCCACCCATCTCCTTCCTAATGGCTCCCTGCTTATATATGAAAAACCTTATCCTAAGGCGTTGGGGGAGGGGAAGACAACCCCCATGACTCTATAGGTAAAAATCCAGGCGACAGGGACCCCACCAAGGCCGTGGCCTCCAGCGCCGCCCCACCTGTTGTTTTGTTGGCCTGTTGCTACTCTGGGCAGACAGAACATTTTCACTTCTGGTCCCCAAATGTGAGAATTCACCAGGCCACTGGCTTCCTGTTTTGTACCAGATCTGCTTAAATCTCACTGCTTCTAGACAGCTTTTGAACACTAAGCAGTTTTTTAAATACAGTAATGATACACCTATGTGCTCCCACTTTGAGGTTCTTAGACCCCTGGGGCGGAGAGAGGGCACCACAGACGCTGGCCCCTGCATGGTCACCGGCATGAGGCAAGATTACCACAGGGGAGCACAGCCCCTCCTCACCACCCAGCCTCTTCCTGGGTCTGACCATTCCTTAAGGTAGCCTTTAAACAGAAAGTCACTGTCTCTTGTGCTTGCTCTGTGTCCAGATCTGTATCTGATGATGGCCACAGGGTTGCACACGATTGAGGATGGGCAGAGAAAATCAAAAGCCTTGGTACTCAGAGCAACCAAGACTGGACCAGGGATAAAGCAAAGCCCAAGGTTCCCTGAAGAGACTGAGAAATAGTCAACATAATTTCCTGAGACATTCCTGGCTATGGCCAGAGCCAAATACACTACTGTAGAGAACTGAGAAAAGGCAGAAGACCTGAATTTTGCCTGAAGAAAGTACCCATCAAACAGGAGGGAGCATGGTTAATCTCAAGAGAGACTGGATGCCCCCACAGTGCCTAGCAGTTCCTGGCATATTATAGAAGCTGCACGAATGAATGAATGAATGAATACAAGGGAATAATCAATAAATTCAGCTATGGGAGCCAGAGAGTATTTATAATTAAAAGTGAGAAGACAACAGGGCACCTGAGTGGTTCAGTCAGGCGTCTGCCTTCGGCTCGGGTCATGATCCCAGAGTCCTGGGATCGAGCCCCACATTAGGGGGTCCTTGTTCAGTGGGAACCCTGCTTCTCCCTCTCTCTCTGCCCTGCCCCTCCCCCTGTGTGCTCTCTCTCCCTCTCTCTCTCTCAAATAAACCAATAAAATCTTAAAAAAAAAAAAAGTGAGAAGACACGATCCATCAGTCTTAAGGAAGTCTCCCTGGGGAAGTGAAAATTGACCTGGCATAAAGAAGGGGCAGAATTTGACGATTTGGAGGCCAAGGGAGGTATAAAAAAAAAATAAAAGAATAGGAAATGGACCAGCAAGAAGCTCAAAGCTGAGGACAGGGCTGTTCTCACCACACCAGGGGACCCGGAAGAGAGATTTGAGGCCAGCGGGAGGGGCCTGCTTCCTTGGGGGCCAGGGAGCTCAGGGAAGCTGTGAACTTGGACAGAGGCTGTAAGTGGCTGACAAACCATTACAAAGAAAATACATTCTTGCCTGGCCTTCAGCAAATCATTTCACTGGACCCTGGTCCTCTGTACCTTCACTGTGAGGATGAAGAGAGACTGCATACGGAGCCCTTGCCCTGCACTCTCATATGTGCTCAGCAAACGTCAGTTTGCTGGTAAAGAAGGGTTTGGTTGGGAATGGTCCAGTCTTAGATGCTGGTTAGACTTATCTAAAGTCAAAGACAGGCTGAGGAATATTTCAGATCCTAGACCATCAGAGTCTAAAGGAACTGCAGCAGTCACCTGTCACCTCCTAAGTCAGAAAGTTATCACTATACTTTGTACTTGTATCTTTTGTTTAGTGAACACCTACTATGTTCCAGGTCCTCTGTTAGACACTGAGAATACAGAGATTAAAAAAAAAAGTACAGGGGCACCTGGGTGGCTCAGTCGGTTAAGCGTCTGCCTTCAGCTCGGGTCATGATCTCAGGGTCCTGGAATCCAGCCCTTTGTTGGGCTCCCTGTTCAGCAGGGAGTCTGCTTCTTCCTCTGCCCCTCACCCTGCTTGTGTTTCTCTCTCTCTCTCTCAAATAAATAAAATCTTAAAAAAAAAAAAATACAAACAGAGAAGATCCTTTTTCTCCTTCAGGTAAAAGAGAGGAGCCTTGGAGAGGTAGTCCAATCCCTCGGGCTACAATATATGCCCATGGTGGTGAATGACTAGCCCACGGCCACACAGCACGGCAGGGCAGGGCAGGACCAGACCGTACTCTCCAGTGTTCCATCCTCATCCCACTAAGCCTGCAGTCAGGCTGCGTCCGTGAGGCCTCACACCCTCTCGGGCTCCAGGGCAGTCAGTGGCTGTGCAGCCTTAGGCAAAGCATGCTACCTCTCTGAGCTTCCCTCTTGCCAGACAGACGCAATATGCAGCCAGTTAAGGACGCCTCACGTCACAAGGTTGCCCCAAGGTTCAAGCCACAGTAACGTGCATGAAAACAATGTGTTCTCTGTAGACTGTGTGTTGTGCAAGCCATGCCTCTCCGTCTTAGGTCACCAGGGCGTCTTCCTCCAGGACAAGGCAGCCTTCCCGAGCCACAGTGGGTGTTTCTACTGCACTCAACGGGCGTCTACTGAGTACCTCCTACATGCTCTATGTTTAGCGGTTACTGAGGACCTACGGGACATACCCTGACCACAAAGGGCTTAAGGGGGGGGGGGGGGGGCTTGCAGCACAAACGGGAGAAGCATGGCCATTTGCCATCAGGCTCAAATGGGTGGCAGCAGGTCTGGAGTCCTGAGGAAAGCACAGGGAAGAGGACACTGGAGCCAACCACGGAGACTAGCTGTGGCTCGGAGGGGTCATCAGCGGGGAGGGCAAAGGCATTCCGAGAAGCCCTGGCAAAGACACTAAAGAGGAACAGGGTGGCAGAGGGACCGGGAGTGGCCAGCCCAGAGAAGTGCTGGCTCTCTTTCCTCCCCAAGAGCCAGGGGGAAAGAAGAACAGCTAAGAGGGGAGGGAGGTTCCAGGCGAGGCGCTGGCATGGCCGTGGGTCTCAGCGCCCAGCCCAACCAGACCCACAGCCAGATCTCCAGGCACCTGCTCCCTAATCATCTCCTAACAAGCTGGAAGCTGCCACTTTAGGGCTCTCAATGAAAACCTGCTGCATCCTCAGGGGAGGTCTGGGGTGAAGGGCAAGGCTGCGTTAGCCAGCAGGACCGAGTGCGGAAGTCAGGAAAACAAGAAGGAGGCACAGGGAACACGTCAGAGGACCCTAAAAGAGGAAGTAGCCCAGTCTCGGTTCCGCTCCCGAGGATGGGAAATACCCTCCGTTCTCCCAGCCCTCAGCAGCTGTCCCTGTGTCCCTACCTGAAGCCACCAAACCTGAGGAGGGACCACCTGGGCCCTGGGCCCCATCCTTTCAAGTCTCCCCAAGGTCTCGGAGTCCTGAGCAGATTCAGGGACCTGGGGCAGCCTCCTGTGGACTGCAGACCCAGGATCCACACTGGGCGGGGTATCGTTCAGAGTTTCGCTGAAGCTAGACACCCCATGGGTTAAGGAATGGGGCCCAACCCTTAGCACTGAAATCCAAAGAAGGATGTCAAAGTCAGCCCATCCCCCCTCCTCGCTGCTCTCCCAATAAAGCCTTCAAGAAAGGGAGAGATCCAAGCTACCAGGGGCTCTGCCCCACCCTCAACCAACTCAGGGATAGAAACATTGGGGCCCAGATGAAGACCTCCAAATTTAGAGATTTGGTTTATTAAGTCAGAGCTTGGCTCCGCTGGAAGAATGGCCCCCCAGTTCCTGGCAGGAAGTGAGGGGGTAGAGGCTGGTAAGGCTCAGCTCCTCTCCTCTCCTCTCCCTTCCTTCCTTCCTTTGTAATTGGCTAGAACCCAAAGCAAGAAAGAAACTAGGCCCCAGGGAAGCAAGGATAGGAAGACAAATAATATGATTTCTCTCCTCCTTGCCTCTCACTGTCCTGGGCTCCTGAGTCTTATTGGCCTAGGTGCTGGGACACGCAGTTCTAACTGCGGGTTTTCAGCAGTGGCTGGGCCCCCATCAGGCCCTCCTCCATCCACAGCTGCCCGGGAACACAGTCTCGCTGGCTGGCACAACTCTGCATTAAGGGCCTACTAAGACAACATCTGGGTGTGGACGCCACCTCTGGTCCATCAGGGCAGACCAGAGGAAAGAGTGATGACTCACAAGGCAAATAGTCCTGCTGTCCCCCAACCTACATTCGGTTCATGATTTCCCTTGTGCATTATTAGCTAGTTGTTTGGTTTTTTTTTTTTTAGCCTCGCCTGGGTCCCTCCCCGATTCCCACCATTTCTGGTCTGCCCGCCCCACCACAGGGCAAGCCTGGCACAGGAAATGCAGAACACAGGGAGACTGAGCTCTCTGCCCCCAGCCCCTACCCACCCATCACAGAAGCCTAGAAAATAAGATCCGTGTTTCTAGACTATTTTAAGCACTGACCTCCACATGGTTTGGGAGGCATGGAGGCTGATCTACAGCAGGGAAAACAGAGCCAGGTGGTAAACGGGTGTGGGGAGGTTGAAAGAACCAGAAAGAAGCACAGAGTGGGGCAGGGCAGAGCAAAGGTCAAGCTCAGTCTTCAGCTCTTAGGGGAAGTTGGCTTCTGGTAGGAAGGTTAAAAACAGCATCTGGACTATCCCCTCTCATGCTGTTTCTCTCTCTCTCTCAAATAAATAAATAAATAAAATCTTTTTTAAAAAAAAGAAAAAAGAATCTGGGGCGCCTGGGTGGCTCAGTTGGTTAAGCGACTGCCTTCGGCTCAGGTCATGATCCCGGAGTCCTGGGATCGAGTCCCACATCGGGCTCCCGGCTCAGCGGGGAGCCTGCTTCTTCCTCTGACCCTATCCCCTCTCATGCTGTTTCTCTCTCTCTCTCTCTCTCTCAAATAAATAAATAAATAAAATCTTTAAAAAAAAATTTTTTTTAAAAACAGCATCTGGAATCACCTCTACTCCCACCTGACTTTGCCTATTGAAAATATGACTGGTTTTCCGGCCCCTGGAGTCCGCCCTTCAAGGGGAAGTGTCTGGGGACACCCCATGGAGAGCTCCCCTGTGGGTCTGCAGGCCTTGCCCACACTGGGCTGAGCTGGGAGGCCTTTGCTCTCCAAGACACCCAGAACCCCTCCACAGGCTCAGGGGCCCCCTGGGAACCGGTCTCTACTCCTGGGCAATGCCTGCCTTTTTGTTTGGAGGAGATAAGCCACTGCTACTCTACCAGACTCTGTCCAGAGCCCAGACCCCTCCTGGGGGTTCTCCCGCTGCAGGCCTGTGGGGCACCCAGTGTGATTTCTCCTCGTCCACAACAAGGGACCAGGCCTTGCCTTGAAGACCCCGGAGGATGAAAGCAGCCCAGGGAGCCTGGGAGGGGCAGGTGCTGCACCAGGAGCCTCCTCCTGCAGAAAAAGCAAAAGGAGAACAGCAAAGAGATGAGACCTGAAAAGGATTCCTCTAAACCACTGCATCTGGCAAGGCTTCTCCCAGGCCAGAGGAGAAGCTCAGAGAGAAACTGGGGGTCCATGAGGGATTGCTGGAGGGAGAAAGTGGATGGAGAAAAGCAACTGCCATGGGGAGGCGGGGAGGCGGGGAGGCTTGAAGGCAGGGGGAAGGAAAGTGTGACCCAAGGGTCAGCCGGCCACAAAGCAGGGATGGCTCCTGGGCCTTCAGTGCAGAAGTGACACTCTGGAGTGATGCTTCTTGGACAGACTGGCCATCTAGAACCTTCAACTCAGAGCAAAGGGTTGAGATAGAAAGCTCGACTCTAGAAGCTGCTACCTGACTAGAAATAGAACGTCCCCAGGAAAGAAAGGCAGAACGTGGATTGGGTGCCCAGGTGGAAAGGAGCAGCCAGCAGGTGGTGAGGACAGCATGACCCTCGGCCTTGGCACCTGAGATCATCTCCCACGGACCCACCCCCCAGCAGGAAGGGGGGTTTGAACCGAATCATCTCTTGGGTTCCGAAGAGTCCTTGGTGCTAGGCTTGGGTGCCTGCGCCATCTGAGGACCTTACTAGGACATCAGATTTACTCAGGAGCTCACCACATTTCCACTCACCTCTCCGGGGACTCCAAAGCCTGACACTTCCCCATCAGACTAGCTTGTCGGAGAACTTCCTGTAGTCGCCATTGGAACTGCTGACATGGCCACTGATGGTGAAGGGTGGACCCACCTCCAGCTCCTTCAGGTTCCTGAGAAAGATGATCCAATCATCTGGGTGGCTGAGAACCTGGCCTCTCCTTGGGAGCCCAACTCCCTAGACCAGAGCATGGGAAGAACTTCTGGCCATGACTCCTCAACTGACTCATCTTCCAGAACAGGAGCTGGCCCATGTCTCGGAGCCGGACGAAGAGCGGACCTGCCCTAGGGCAGCGAGTGGACAAGACGGCTTACCGCAGGAGCACTTCCTGACCCCCACTCCCTAAATCCCGGGTGGTCTCCATTTGCTCCTCTCTTTTGACACCACATTGTGCCCGAGATTATGTTATTTGTAGTCAGGCCCATGTCCACCACAGACAGTGAAATGCTTAAAGACAGAGACTATGCTCATCGTACCTCCTAGAAACTAATACCACAACACCTGCAACAATAGATCTTTCCTGAATAAATGATGAGTCGATGACGAATGAATGGTTGGTCCCTGCCTGAGGGCAAATGATAAGAGGATCGCCATCAGCAGAGTCTCACATAATCCTGTCCGAGTTCGAGTTTTTATTCATGGTAATTTCTAAATAGACCCCGGCTCCTTCCTTTTCTCTTGTTTGCTTAGGGGCATGGAGAGGAGACAAGGAAGAGGAACAGTGTGTTTGGGCTCCATACCTATCCACACCCAGATCTGCTCTGAATCTACTCACCGGATCTGGTACAAGTTGAAGACAAAATTAGGCCCTAAAAAGACAATCAGAAAAGAGAGGATTAGTACCTCCAGGGAAGACCTGCCCATCACGCTTCTAGGAACATCTGGTGCTCCCTCACCCCATCTGGGAGGAGCAGGGTGGCTGCGCTGGACCTCAGGATGCTGTCGGAGGGCCCCAAGTTCCTGCACTGTCTGCTGTCTGCCCCACGCCCAGGGGTGTACCCCATCTTCCCAGATAGAACCACCAGCTTTTGGGGCAACTCCTGCAGCTAGGCATCCCCCCTTTAAGGGTACTGATTACCCTGGGAAAGAGGCAGTCCTAGCTTAGAGCCCAAAAGCAGCAGACCCGGGCTTGAATCCAGACTATACCACTCTCTAACCCTGTGACTTCAGCCTTCCGGTTTCATCTATAAAAAACAGAAACTAAGAATTCCAACCTTACACGGAATTTTGAAGAAAATCCTATTAGGCAAAAGTCCACTGGCACATAGTAGGTGCTCAGCAAACATTCGTGGAAGCTGTGGAAGCCAACTGCAGGTCTGAGACATGCTCTCCGCCTCCAGGGATGCCAGCATGCCCGCCCAGCTCCCCCCGGGTCCCGTGGGAAGTGCAGATATGGCTCGGAGCTGGGAGACTCCCAGGGAAGCAGAAGCTGAACCCACAGGCAGGGGGAGAGATGCACAAGGAACCAGAGTGGGGGACCCCAGTCTAGCCTGGCGCCCCTGGCCTCGAGGCCCACACAGGCCTTGGGGATGGACACTGGTGGGCTCTCAGGAAAGAGAGAGAGACAGCCTCCGGCTGGGTAGGAGGAGCCCTCACTCCTTCAGTGAAGGCCCAGTACCCCACCCCCACCCATTCGAGGGCTCTGCCACCCCCACTCAAGTCTTCAACCACTGCAGCCGCCACAGGAAGTGTTTCTGCATGATGCCATGCTGGAGAGTGTGCAGCCCCACCCAGCCTTGCCGACGGCTACAGGAGAGGAGGGACAGGCCAGCGCTGGGCTGCTGGGCTCCGGCGCTCACTCACCCTCCCAGCAGTACCCACGCTGGTACCACTTGGCCAGGCTGTAGCCCAGGACGGACACGAGCAGCAGTGAGAGCCCCACGCCGAGGATCAGGCCCAGGGTGCGGATGGAGTCGTCACCTGCAGAGACACACGGCCCCCTCCGTCGGCTGCCTGTGGCCCTCTCAGAGCCCTCCACCTTGTTCCGAGTCTCCCCCCCTCCCTCCTCACTGCCATCAACATGAGGGCTCCCCTAGGAATCGTGATCTGAGCTAGCTAGCGGAGCTAAGTCACACTAAGAGAGCAGCGTCTGATACCCGAGTTTTTAGAGTCAGTTTTGTTTATCCAAAGAAACAGTTCTTGACCACAGATATAGTATGGAAATGGGAGGGCCTCCTGCTTATTGGAAAGGGCACTGCAGTTTGGGGGAAGAGCCCAGGAGGTCTCGCCTCAGCCTCGCTCGGTGGTCAAGAAGAGCAGCCTGGAGGCCCCGAGAGCAGAGACCAGAAGATCCTCAGTATCCTCCCCACAAAGCCCCTGGAACGCATGGCAAGGTGTTTACTTTCAAACTCTGTTTGCTGCTTATACTTATTGTTTCTTCCTTTTTGTGGTATGAGCTCTTAGCTAAATTTATATTTTATTTGTAAAGCCAAACCAAGGGAGAACGGGAAGAAGGAGGGACGGTGGGGGGTAGGGAAGGGGGGAAGGAAGGAGGGAAGTAAATGAGGGAGGAGAGGGCAGGAGGGAGTTGGGAGGGAGGGGAGAAGGAAGGGGGAGGGAGGAGAGGGCAGGAGGGAGTTGGGAGGGAGGGGAGAAGGAAGGGGGAGGGAAGATGGAGGAAGGAGGGAAGAGGGAGGGAGGAGGGGGGCAAGGAGAGAGGAGGGAGGGAGATTGGACTCCTCCAAGGAGATGAGATGGGCCTAAAGCAGAAGCAGAGAGGGAAGCCAGCATTGCAGAAAGAGGCTGACAATGGGGGCACAGAGAGAGAGGCCCACCTGGTGGGCCAGGGAAAGAAGAGGAAGGCCAGCTCCACTCCTGCTGGATGAGCACCAGGTATATGGAAGAATCAACTGATCCCATGTCCATGGCCCTGGGTCCTGAGGCTCTGGGGGTGTTGCCAGGGGGCCAGGAGGTGTAGTGCATAGCAGGCTTGCTTCCAAAGCCCAGGTCCATCATTTGCAAAATGTGGGACCTGAGCAACCCCCTTTCCCCCACTAGACTTCAGTTTGCTTTTATGGAAAATAAGCATGATGATAAATACACATAGAGTTGCTGTGTTGATTAATGGAGGAGCATTACAGAAAGCAGCCAGAAGACCCAGCATACACTAAGTGCACAAACAATGTGAACTACAACATAGTTGTGGTCATTATCAGCATCACATGATGTGATTGTCTTGGTAAAATATTTCACAATCTCCCCTGCCCAAGCCTTTCACTCCCCCATGCCCCTTGGCCCTTCTTCCCCCTGACGCATCCCAGCAATGAGAAGGTGAGGCCCAAAGGCAGAAAGAAAGGGTCTGTCCTCCTAGTTTTCTATTTCAAAAGCCCAGGCCCTTAGCAAAATAGAAAGGATTCACAACTTAGATAAGAGATGAGCGAAAGCAAGACTGCCCTCCGCGTCATACCAGGAGAAAGATCTCCAGCCTAGGGGAGGAAAGGGAAAAAGCAAGAATAAGAGAAGCAGGGGGAAAAAAAACACTGGAAAACATTGAAAAGATGTCAGTGGGTCCCAGAGAGAAAGTCCTTGTTCCCTGATCCGAAGCTGAGCCCTGGGGAGGCAACAGAACTTCCAGGCAGAACTGTAGGATCTGAGAGCCGGATGGAGCCCCAGAAAGACAAGAGCCCAGGAATGATAGTTGCATGGAGCACCTTGGCGGACAGAGCCTCAGACAGCCTTGGAGAGTTGCTGTGCCCTCTCATGGCATGGGAGCAACCAAATGATTTCTATCCCCAAGAGAAGCAGGGAAGTCACAGAGAGACCCTCTGGACCAGAGAGAGTCACACAGCTGAGATCTCGGGACACCTCCACAGTCCCCTGCCTGGCTGAGGCTCAAAGCCCAGTCCAGATGACAGCCACTGCCATGGGTGCCCACGTGAGCACATGGCATCAGGGACTATGCACCCTTCTCCTAATCCTTACATCCCCAAGAAATGGGGAGCACAGGGATCCCCAAAGCCACTAATGGCATCTTCTCTGTGCCAGGCACTTGTTTGAGACACTTGTCTTATAGCAATAAATAAAATATGTTCTCATGGAAATTATATTTCCGTGGAGAGAGACAGACAGTAAAGAATAAGGGAGGGAGGGAGGGAGGGAGGGAGGGAGGGAGGGAGGGAGGGAGGGAGGGAAAGAAAGAAAGAAAGAAAAAAAAAAAGAAAAGAGAGAAAGAAAGAAAAGAAAGAAGAAAAGCTCTGTGGGGATGAGAGCACAATTTTAAATAAAGCAGTCAGGGATGGGCTCTCGAAGAAGGTGACAGTTGGGGAGAAGGCCCCACAGGAGCTGAGGAAACGCCATGCAGGTGGGCTGGCTACAGTAGAAACATGCTGGGCAGAGTGGGTGGCAGGTACAGTGGAGGCAGGAGCATGCCCAGCATGTTCCAGGAGCATCACAGAGCCCCAAGTGACCGGCAGGGACAGAAGGGATGAGGGACAGTAGCAGGAGACGGATACTATAGTTCCTCAAAGGCAATAAGGGGAGTTTGGGTTTTCCTCTGAGCAAAGTCACGAGAGTCACGAGAGGATTCTGAGCAGAAAAATGACATGATGCCATGTATTAAGAGGACACTCCGATGGCTACTGTGTTAAGAACAGATATGGTAGGAGGGTGATGATGAGAAGGGAAACCAGTCAGAAGCTGGTTCCCAGCAAGAGACAGTCACTGAGGAAAACAGTGCAAGGAACAGAGAGGCCAAAGTCCAAGAGACCATCTGTGTGGGTCACAGAGAGCGTGACAAGAACCCAAGAGCTCAAGTCTTCACCAACGAGGGGGGTGACCCAGGAGTGGTGGACAGATGATTCAACAAGGCATGGGAGGAGTATTCGTGGTGTTTGTGGAAGCTGAGGTTTTGAAGGGTTTCATCAAAGAAAAGTACCAGGAGGAAAGCACCAATAGGGAAATCACAGGCCTTCCAGAGATCCAGCTGTTGAGGGAAAGAGGTGTACCAGCTGTGTTGGCTACCATTTTGTCCCCACCCGCAAAACGCAGCCTTCTGGCTTAGGTGGCTTTCAGACACATGAATTACTCTATTTCACCTCTTTATCTTCCTAGGATGCTCTTTAACTAATATTCTTTTTCTTAAAGAAGATTTTATTTGTTTTTTTAAAGATTTTATTTATTTCCTTGGGGGGGAGAGAGAGAGAGAGAGAGAACAAGCGGGGGAGGGGCAGAGGCAGAGGGAGCAGACTGCCCGCTGAGCCCTGATTAGGGCTCGATCCCAGGACCCTGAGATCATGACCAGGGCTGAAGGCAGACACTTAACTGACTAAGCCACCCAGGCGCCCCAAGATTTTATTTATTTGAGAAAGAGAGAGAGAGAGACGGAGAGCAGGGGGAGGGGCAGAGGGAGAGAATCTCAAGCAGATGCAGCGCTTAGTGGGGAGCCCAATCTTGGGCTTGATCCCACAACCCCAAGATTATGACCTCAGCCAAAACTAAGAGTCAGAGACACTTAACTACTCAACCGACTGAGCCACCCAGGTGCCCCATCTTTAACTAATATTTTCTTTACTTAATTCTCCCTTTTGTATACCTTTCCATTCTTCTTATATTTCATGCACACAAGAAGTACACAGAATAACATGATAAACATCCATGTGCCTACCATTAAGCTTCAAAGAATTCAAAAATTCCACCATTACTGCTTATTAACTTCAGAGTAGCCTTCTCCTACCTCTCCAAGTAAGTCCTCTCAAATTTAATGTTTAGCTTCCCTAGGCCTGTTTTTTATACTATTTCATTTTTTCCCATTATGTGTATGTGTGTTTATATATGTAATTGTTTTGCTTATTTTCAAACTTTAAAAAAATGATGGTAGGATTACTTCCATTTCTGTCCATGGCAGAATAATAACAGACCAGATTTACTCTCCCCCATTAAACATCTAGAAAACCAGACAGAATAGGCAAAATAATGGAGAAAGGTCTGCAAGATGATGATTCTCGAGAAGCAGAAATGAAACACGGGGCGTTCTGTGACTGCCCAGCTTACTGCCTGGGGTGGGTTCCCAAATCCCAAGTACAGGGAGGTGGGACCCAAAGAGAGTCCAGCTGTTCAGGTTGAGGAGAAAGATCTGGCACCTGGGAGATCAACACAGCTCAAATTTATGGGACAAGAACACCAGAGGGGAAGGCTGCACAGAGAGATTTCCAAATCTGCAGAAGAGTTCCCTGATGTCTCTGGTTGTGGTTTGTCCTTTAAATTTGCTTATGGCATCTTTTTTGAGCAAAATTTAAATGTGTACTTTAGTTAAATTCACCTATAGTTGTGATTTTAAAACTCTTATTTAAGAAATCCATCCTGAGGCACCTGGGTGGCTCAGTCAGTTAAGTGTCTGACTCTTGATTTCACCTCAGGTCATGATCTCAGGGTCATGAGATCCAGTCCCACATTGGGCTCCATGCTGGGTATGGAGCCTGCTTGGCATTCTCCCTCTCCCTCTGCCTCCTCCCCTCCCCCAAAAAAATCCAGGGGCACCTGGGTGGCTCAGTCGTTAAGCGTCTGCCTTCGGCTCAGGTCATGATCCCAGGGTCCTGGGATCGAGCCCCGCATCAGGCTCCCTGCTTGGTAGGCAGCCTGCTTCTCCCTCTCCCACTCCCCCTGCTTGTGTTCCCTCTCTCACTGTGTCTCTCTCTGTCAAATAAATAAATAAAATCTTGAAAAAAAAATCCATCCCTACTCCAAGATACACCCCTTAGTTTTCTTCTAAAGTTTTAAAGTTCTATTTTTCACAGTTAGAATATTCATCTACCTAGAATTCACTTTTTGGATGTGTTCTAAGGTAAGGATCTAATTTTTATATGGAAAGTTATTTTTCCATACTTTGCCCCTAATGATTTTCATTGTTGTCACTTTCATGTAACAAGTTTTCCATATACGTTTGTTTCTTTTCTTGGGCTCTGTATTGTCTTCTGTTGGTCCGA